GGGGGGGGGCAACGGCAGAGAAGGCCCTTCTCCTGGACCCCCCAGCTGGGATTCCCTGCCCGATGGGGCCCACAGCAGGTCTTCTCTGGGGCACGGGTGGGAGGGGCCCAGCCCAGTGGGGTGAGAGGGTCCCTCAGGCAGCCTGGACCCCTGCAGTGAAGGCCTTGAAAGGTCATCACCACCCCTTGAACTGCATCTGAAATGCCCCATCCGAGAAAGGCCACGACTGGTGCACAACTCAATGATACGCAAAGAGTAAGTGGAGTCTTGCCAGGGTTCAGTCGAAGCCCGTTGTCCCCCATCCAGCCCCCCTCCCAGCCTCCATGCCCCCAGGAGGGCGGCCAGAGCATCACCTGGGTCTCCAGTGGGGAAATGGAGCGTTGAGAATCCTCCGTGTGCTGCATATACCCCAAACCCTGGTGAGGGAGGGTCTCGCCTAGTGGTTTCAGGGAGACGCTGAAAAGGGGGGATGGAGGGATGGCTTTGTTGAGGAGGGGGCCAACCAGGGACTCCTTAAAAGGAGGAGGGTGTAACGGGCAGGTGGTGGCCCTGATGGCCTCCCGGCCCCTGTCCGCTTCCTGGCTCCGACAGGGAGAAACCATTCCCAGATAGCCAGGCAAGGACTCTCCCCGAGTCTTAAGATCTGCCTTTCCCAATGACTGAATCTTCCTAGCTGCTCCCCTAATTTCTGGGCTTCGTTTCCAGGGGAGACTGTTTGCCAGGAAATCCCCCCTGATGGGCCCATCCTGAGGCCCCATTAAGCTCCATGGAGAAAATAGAGACAACCGAGATGCCGTTTCTTCAGGATCTCGGGACTCCTGAGAGGGACCCCCAAATTCCCAGAGCAGGGGGTTTAGCTGCTAGTTGGAAAACTCAACAACCGGAAAGCACTTCCTGGACCCATCCCTCCCTCCCACCTTCGTGCCTTCTTTAGCAGGATGCCGCCATCTTGCCCGGGGGGGGTGCCAGTCGGCTGTGGGGCAGGGAAGGGATAATCTGAGCCTCAGTGGGTGGTCCCCCCTAAGAGTCACCCTCCCCCCCCTAAATCCAAGCCCTGCCAGGAAGGGGACTGGGGGGTCTTGAGCTTTGGGCCTCAACCGTCTCCTGGGGGCCCCAAAGAAACAAGGCCAGTCATGCTGGGCAGAATTTATTGGACCTTCTGGCCCATCAGGAGCAGCAAAACCAGATCCAGCTACAGAGAGCATCCGTTGAGCGAAGGGGGCAGGGCAGAAATTGGGGCAGGCAGGGTGGGGGAGGTGGGGGGGGGCTTCCTTGCTTCTCCAGACTTCAGACAGCTGCATCTTCAGACTATGCCTAGAACTTGCAGACGACATAGCGTTTACTGCTGCAGTCCATACTTAACCATTGGTTATCAGCTGGGTAACAAAAGAGAAATTGTGATCACTTTCTGCAGAGATTCCCTGAGAGTCCCAGAAGATCTTTTCAGAGGCTCCTGGCTCATTTGCAGGAGGACATGAAGATACCACAGGTGGAGACTCTCATCCCCTAAAACAGGCTGGGGGTTCAACAGGTTCTTCTAACCCAGATAACTTACCTGGCCCTCAAGTTTCTTTCATTTCTTCTGTCTCATTTTATTTATTTTTATTTATATTTATCCCACCTCTTTACTTTACAACTCACCCAAGGCAGCAAACATATCCAACACACCTTCCTCCTCCTCTTTTCCCCACAACAACAACCCTGTGAGGTGGGTTGGGCAGAGAGGGAGGGGCTGGTGCAAACTCAGCCAGTCGGCTTTAGCGCCTATGGTGGGACTAGAACTCCCCGTCTCCTGTTTCTAGCCTGGTGCCTCCACCAGAGACCAAATTGCTCTTTTGATTGGTTTATAATTCAACGAACCATGTGTTAATATTTCTCTGCAAGACACAGAAGACACATACACAAAATGTGGCCGAGGTTCTTCTCACCGCAATGGGGTGTTGAAGATTGATCTACATCTGAGCAAGCAAACCAGGAAGAACAAGCCAGATGCCCTGAGATAATGATGGCCTTTCGGAACAAGGTTAAGATGGAGCTTGTTAGTTGCATTATGAGCTGATGGCCCCGTAATAATTTTCATTTAGAGCTCCAGTCCCGTTTTTAATGATTTCTCCCATGGTTGTGTCGTGTTCCCTTGTCTGTGCAGAGTGTGGGACTGAGGCAGCTCACAGATCCAGGAGGTCAAGAAAGGTCCCCAGTGGCCAAGGGGTGGGAGCTGCAAGAAGGATCCTCTGGATCCTCATGGAGGGAAGGGCACCTTCCTTGATGTAACACAATGTGCACCACCGCATGGACTTACTTGTCTTGGATGTGATACACTCAGATTCTCCACTCCAGGCACTGTACTTGTGCTCGGTGCCATCGCTCCACTGCAACATGCATTTCTGGAAAGACAAGGAAGAGCCAATTGAGGAGGGGGCTCTGGCTGTGCAGAGAAAAGTTGGCAGAGCTTCAAGGGGCAGAGCAAATGTATCCTCCCTCCTCTCTCTCTCTTTCCTTCTCTCTCTTTCCTTCTCTCTCTCTCTCTCTCCATCCACCCCAGCTGACCTGGAGCAGCTAAGGAGGGTTCCACTTGGGGACTGCCTGGAGAGGAGACAGTCAGGAGATCCAGAGGGAAAAGAGGAGAAAACGGCCTGGAGGGGTCCCAGGAGTCACCAGCTCAGCTTGGGGGCCACTTTGCCCCATGCCCAATGTGGTGACCGCTCCGAACGACCCTCAAAGCCCATCACTCCCTGGATGGGGGAGCAGAGGCAGAACCCAGGGCTTCAGGGGACACTTGGGAAGAGAAAAGCCTCCTGGGTATCTTTGGTTACTTCTTTTGAGGACCTCCTTCGCTCTTGTCCCCAGAAATTCACTGTTCTGGATCATAGATCCATTTAACCTTGTATAACTCTATGTATCTTGTATAACTCTATGTACTCCTATGTAACAGGTCAAGGGGAGGGTTTAGGGTCAGGGGCGGAGCTTCAAAGGCATCCCTGGACACTAGCCTGAGGGCAGTCTTTTGTTCTTTGACCATCTCATGCAGCCACACGGCTGCAGACTCCACGATCACCCCACCATGTGACGCTTGGGAGAAGAGGGGAAAATCTAATGTCAATTTACCTGTGGGACAAGCAGATTGCTGAATCACCTATTTTTGGAAGTACCTCTGCAAACTGTAAGTTTGTCTAGGATCCCCAGATTGTTTGTTCTTCTGAGTTATCTATCTGTTAAAGACTGGAATAGAAGCAACTTTCCTGTCTAGAAACAGTATATTCACATTTCTATTCACAAAGTCACCAGGATCTGATCTCAACTCCAGGGAATCTCCCCCCCCCTCCTTTGTACATGACGGAGCTTCTTCCAAGAGCTGAAAACCCAGCAGAGCAGGAGACGAAATCCTGCCGGTCACAGAAAGGAGGAATTTCTGTGTTAAATTAAAATAAGGGGGGGAGGAAAGAACAGCCCCCCCAGGCCAGGCCTCTAAAGCCCCTGAGCTGAAGGCCCAGCAGAGTCTCCCCCAGGTGTGGAGCCCATCCAAGGGGCCTTCCAGAGGGAGGAAGGCCTGGGGGCCGAGATGGGGACCGGGGCAGGATCCGGCCCTTCAAGACCGCAGTGGGTCCTTTAGGAGGAAGGAAGGATTTGGGGAGGGGAGAGAGAGAGAGAGAGAGAGAGAGAGAGA